AGTGGGCAGCCTAGGGCTATCGCAGAGGGGTCAGATGACAGAGTGAGGATTAGTTCATGTTTGCCTGCCTGACAGGTGTGTAGGGGTTTAGGGAACTGAGAAGTGGGATTGCAACCTGCCTCCCACTGTGTCTGTCCCTTAGGGTAGGTAGAGGGAACTGGGGGACTCGCGTCAGTGAGGTCTTAGCTGCTTCCCATTGGGGCTGTTCTTTAGCTTGGGTACAGGGGGTGCTGCAAAGCTTGGGCAACCGAGGCAGGGGATGGTCTCCCCCATCGTGGGTGTTTCCCAACATGCCTCCCACCATAGGGTGGGTACAGGGTGCATAGAGGGATCCAGACACTAATGATTGCCCCCTTCAGGTCCACTGCACGGCCGGCGGGCACTGCTGGTGCATGCAGCAGAGCCGGTGGCAGAGCGGGCAGCATGTGCCTTGATGGCAGCTCTGCACTCACTGGGGCTGACAGTGGTGGCAGCACCGGGGGGTGGCAGTGGGGTAGCGGCTCTGGGGCCACTGCCCTGGCTGCATGCCCAGCACCACCGGGCACTGCGTGACAGTGACACTATCATCCTGCTCCTCTCGCCGGCAGCCGTGGCTGCTGCACATCAGTGGGACACCGGGGCCAGGGTTGTGCCAGAGTCCAGGGCCGCTGAGAGCAGCCTTGGGCCCCGGCACAACCCTGGCCCTGATGATGTCCCCACTGTGGCGCCCTGCGAGGTGTTTGCGGCGGCTCTGTCCTGTGCCATGCCAGTGCTGGCGGTGGCCAGTGCTGGTGGGCACTATGTGGTGGCCCGGCTGGAGACCTCGGTGCCAGCAGTGCCCCCAGCACTGCGGGCAGCCCCTGCCTTCGCACTGCCCAGCGAGATGGGGGCGTTCTTGCAGGCACTGGCAGGACCAGCTCGGCAGAGGGGCCGGTGGCTAGAGCCATATGTGGCGGTGGTGGCCGAGGCTCTGCAGCGAGCAGTAGGGGAATAAAGGGGTGACAGTACTTTTGCTGAGTGTGAGTCCAGCTCTGAGTCCAGCAGGGACTGGGATGGGTTGGGAAGGAGTGATGGGGTGGACTGGGATGGTGTGGAGGGGGATGATGGGGAGGTATAGGGGGGGATAGGAAGGGGGCTGGGCTGTTTGGGGCATGAAGGGGAAGGTTGGAGGGTCGATGGGGAACTGAACCAGTTTAGGGGTATGAAGGGAAACTGGACCAATTTGGGGTGGTAATGGGGAACTAGACAAGCTCACTGGGGGGTGATTGGCAACTGGGACAATTCGGGGGAAAGTGTGAAAAGAAATTGGACCAGTTTAGGGTGAGATGAGGGGGAACTGGGCAAATTTGGGTACAGTGAGAGGAAACTGGACCAGTTTGGGGG